GATGCGGGGCTCGACCCCAGGACCCTGGGATCATGACCTGAGCCGAAGGCAGACGCTTAACGACTGAGCCACCCAGGTGCCCCAACAAGTTTTACTTTCTTACAATCTTACGTACCACGGCCATCAGGTGTCCCCGAGTTGGGGGGCGGCGGGAGTGTTGGATTTTTGCCCTGTCTCGAGTGGGGTGTGCGAGATAGCTGTCCTCCTCAACGGTGACCTGAAGAGATGCATTGTGAGTCATGGGCGCTCTTCAGAGACTGTACCAACCCAGCATCCCCTGTGGCCTGAACATGCCTGCACTGGGAAATAAACCCACCCCATTGACTGGTTCTGAGAAAATCCAAGGGCAGGGCCTTTACTGCACATGCGGGGGCTCCAAGGCTGGCCCCAGGCACCGCAAAGAATGGAAAGAGGAGTTGGTGGAAAGACTCAGAAGGTGGGACAATGGGGTTTTCAAAGGGAGCTAAAGAAGTACGGCTCGTGGGGGGTAGCAAGTTAAGTGGGGTGCACCCCCAAACCTCCCCCTTCACATTAGTCATGGGTACTGCTTCTGCCCTGGTGCTCCTCCCCTCCACATGAGCCCCCCTGACCTCATCCAAGATGCGGTTCTTGGCTCGGGTGATAGCAGAGTTGAGGGCATTGATCCATGACTCCTTCTCTTCTGGACTCACGGCCAGGAAGATCAGGTTGGGAGCCTGTGAGGGGAAGATTCTTGGTTCAGCCAGCGTTTTAGGGTTGGTGCCTCACTAGGAAGGGTGAAGAAATCAGGAATTATCATCTCATTCTCTTAGACCCAGCTCCCAGAAGGAGAGAGATTCTGCTTCCAGAGTCATCCACAACCTAAGGAAACCAGCCTCTCGTCCTAGAAGATGCCACAGCTTAGAGGTTGTTTTAGAAATGACCAAGGAAGAGCTAGGAAGGGTGATGGATATTACTACGTCATTGGAGATAATTACAGGAGGTTTGATAGATAATAAAGGACAGGTACTAAAATAAAGATCTTTAATGTCTGAGTAAACAGAAAGTGACAGGACCTTCCCTGAGTCCCCTCAGACAAGAGAAATTAGATTCAGAACTTCACCTATCAGGGTACAGGGAAAAGTGATTTTCTTCCAAGAGTGTAGGATATATGTGTGCCTGTGTGTGTGAGAGAGAGACAGAGAGAAAGAGAGAGAGAGCTGATCTCTGTGGTTGGATAGTTTAAAGGCTGGCTCGCCTGGAGGGAAGGCAATGGCCACAATATTCTCAGGTTAAATAACAGAAGCTGGCAGGAGGGCAAGTGCGGGGCCTCTGGGCCCAGAGTGGCGGGAGAACCTGAAGGGCAAAGGTGTCCTCTGCCCCCGACATGCAAGCGGCCTCGGTTCCAGGGGCCCAGGAGGCAGGAGAGACATACCGTGTTGCCAGGCTGTTTGGAGTGGGCAAGAGTAAACTTGCTATGATTTTTCTTGCTCCTGCTCTTGGATTTCCGGAGCTCTTCACACTTTTCATAGTCACTCAGGTCAAACACCTCTTGAATATTTTTCTCATCTTTTACCTAGGGGAGGGTTAGAGGTGAGGTGCTGAGGAGAAGATGACTTCATGCCTTCCCCCACACTGTTAATTTAGGCCGGTTCTGGGAAGCAGGATGAGCCTAAGGAGAGGGGAGGGAGGACAGGGTAGGAGAGCTGTCTGACCCAAGGCCCACACAGGCCTGAGCGTGGGCATGGTCCTGGGGCACCCCTCAAGCCCCGACTCCTCAGGTGGGTTTCCATGTAAGCCCCTTATCCCCTTATCCACACTCTCTTCGGCTCAGCTCCTGTTTCCGGAGCCCCAGGATGTCTCTCTTCACCATGACCCCCGTTATGTCCTTCAAAAGACACGGCTTATGTGGCGGCTAATAGGTTAATCCTATCATCCCGAAGAAAGACAGACCTGGGTGGCTGTTGACCATCCAGAGGGAGGAGATAAAAGCGGGGTCAGCATCAGGGATGTCTCCAGGCAAATGCTACCTCTGGTCTCCCCCATCTTATTAAATGTTTACACTGTCGCTTTATTTTATTTTTTTAAAAAAGATTTTATTTATTTGTCAGAGAGAGAGAACACAAGCAGGGGGAGTGGCAGAGGGAGAGGGAGAAGCAGGCATTCGGGGCTTGATCCTAGGACCCTGGGATCATGACCTGAGCCGAAGACAGACGCTTAACTGACTCCCTACACTGTCGCTTTTTTTTTTTTTTAAAGGTTTTATTATTTTTTTTGGGTGTAATCTCTACACCCAACATGGGGCTCAAACTCAGAACCCCAAGATCCAGAGTCACAGGCTCCACTGACTGAGCCAGCCAGGCTTTCTTACCTGACTCCCTCTTCAAATATATATTATTCTAAAGAGAGTCATCGGCCTCCTTCATTTCGGGAGCTCCAGCACCATAGAAACAGCAGTGCCCTGTGCTGAGTTTGCTAAGACAAGCTGAAAAATACACCTATAGTTCCTGCCCTACTCCTGCCCTCCGAGCTCCTGAGACGACCCGGCCTGGCCCTTGCAGGCTTCGAGAGCCATTTAAGTCATCCACCTCTCCCTAGACAAAGATGCGCTTACACTGTCCCTGGAGGACATTTCAGACTTGTATTCTGCTACTTCTCTCCATGGTTCCAGTTTTGAGAGCTGGTTCTCCTTTGTGTCTAAACTGAGCCCTTCGCTCGTGCTGTCTCTCTTGCACCCTACCCTTTGCAGCGTTAGCCAGCATTTGGCCCTTCACCCTCCTGCCGAACGTCTCATCAGACCACAGTTCTCTCTCCATCCTCTGACCCCAACCAGCCTTTGTGGAGGGCCACAAAACAAATTCCAGTAATACTTCTGCCGAGGTCTCGTGGAAACCTCTCCGTTGTTTCTCCTCTCCACTGAGGTGTTCCCCACAGGCCTGGGACTCTGAAGCTGTGGCTCATGGATTGTTCTGGTTTACAAGAGGAGAGGGACTTAGTCGCCGGCCCAGACGAGCAGCCTGTGATTAGAAAGCCCTTTCGCCCTCTACCATTTGAGCCTGGGCTCGGAAGACCCTGGGAACGAGAGATGAAGAGCGCCAGTGCCTGTCTTGGCAAAACTAAACAAACAGATAAAAGTAGTCTCCTGTCTCCCTTGGAAGACACCCACCCTCCCTGACTGGAACTGTTTCTCAAGCGCGAACTAGGAACTGTGTGCTCGCAGGTGACTTCATCTATTCCCCTGGTTCTCAGCAGCCTTGAGGTGGGGGAGTGAGTCTCTCTTCCACTGCCCAGCCCATCTCTGGTCTTGCATCTGCCTGTCCTTCGGACTCGCCGCTGGGGCCAGGGGGCTGACACAGAGGCGGAGGGCTCATCACACAGCCTCGCTGGGGTCAATGGCTGCTCATACATCTGCCTGTTTGTGTTGGCCCGGCGTGCCTCCCCCACGGCTTTCCCCTTCCAGGGCTCCCCGGCTTGGGGCTGGTAAGTGACCAGAGGCCTGGGAGGCTTGTGGATGGGAGCGGAGAAGGTGTTGGCAAGGGGTGTCTGAGAACAATTCCCGGAAATGTGGGGCAGGGAGGGAGGATGATGCATCAGCCCTCCTGTCCTTCTTCCTCAGGCTTGAGACTATCAGCAGCCGCCAGGACTCTTAGAGAGGAAAGTGCTGGGTGTGTGTTGTGTATGGAGCCAGGGGAGGAGAGTTACTTGTTCTGTTTTCCTTTCAGGAAGGGAAGGGAAGGGAGAAGGGAAGGGAAGGAAGGGGGGTATTCTGCCTCAGACACGCTGACAAGGAGCTCCAGGAAGGAGACAGTGACAGAGGTTAGGCCTCGAGAGGGCAGTGGTAGGAGAAAGGGCAAGACAAACGGCGGGACGAGTAGATTCCAGTCCCACGGAAGATGGACAGCTCCGAGACCCTTGTCCCAAAGTCTCATTTATAACTACCCATCTTCCAAAGCTAGCCCTTCCTTTCCCCTGGGCCCACAGAAAGGGATTTTCCCTTACCAAAAAAGATGCCCTGAACCCAATTTCCTCTACCAGGAGATCTCCTAAGATCTAGTTTCTGTTCCTATACATCAACCCCGTGATCATAGGGTGCCCTTTGACTGAGAATGAGGAAAATGATTAATAACAACAAATACAGAAGGATTGCTTTGATGGAGGTGGTGATGGGAGACCCTGCCTTTATGAGGAGAGGTAACAAAAAAAGACTTGAAAATTCGAGGGGAGAGGGTTAGGGATATTCTTGCATTAACACATAAATTACAAACATTGTACTTTGCATTTTAAAAAAAAAATCTTGAATCTATTAGCTCTGGAGCTTGTGGGAAGTGGACAGAATAGAGCCCAGAGTCCTCTGTCAGCTTCACCCTTAGCCCAGGCCTGCCGTAGCATGGAAATGGGCTCCAAAGAAGAGGAGTAACAGTAGGCTTGTCCCCACTTCTCCTGCGCCCTTCTCAGCAGGGGACAGCGGGCCCCCATGACCAGTCAGATGCTCCTGACTCACCGGACACCAAGCCTTGGAGGCTGAGGTCATTCGAGCCTTCCCCCTGTCTCTGTACTCCTTCATCCACAAACAGGGAGCAAGCACGCTCTTTCGCTCCCAGACTCTTTTCTTTGGACAAATATAAACAAGAAAAGATGTCTTGTTCCTTCTACCCTTCCACTGTTCTCATGGTTCCCCTCTGACGTGTGGGAAGTTCTCCCTGATTGCTCACCAGAGTTTCCTGCCATTATGAAGTTTGGGGAAGACAGGAGATACCCTTTGACACTTGCTTATTATTATTATTTTTTAAACTGGAAAGCCAGCAAACTGTGGAAAAACCTTCTGTAGGATTTGGGATTGGGTAGAGGTGGCCCTTAAGAAGAAATCCTGCTGTCAAAGTCTTCTCCCACCGCCCTCCATCACCAAGTTCCCAGTCTGGTGTAAATAGTCAGGTCGAAACACCCAGAAGAGGGATGGCTCGGGCCCGGGCACAGCTCAGCTCTCCCCTACTTGCCTAGGTACACGTTCTGTTCAGATGAATACTTTCTCTAGGACTGCGCATGTGTCTGTTTCAATACCATAAAAGGATTTATTTACCTAAATATAGTCTACTGCAGAAAGCAGAAGAGGTTAGAACTCCGGGTGGACTTCCCAGTTAGGCTGGGCGGGGGGGGGGGGAGACACAGGATTGGGGGAGGAAGGGCCACCCAACCAGGGGAGCACAGGACAGTGTCCTAGCCTAATGCGGACACAGTCTCAGAAGTAGGGGACTGGAATGACTTCCAACTCATGGAAGGCAATGTCAGTTTCTCAGGTGTTACTGATCTCAAGAAATAGAGATAAAAGGGAGAAGAGTGTGGGTTCGGTGATCTGGGCTCAGGTTCTGAATGCCGACTGTGGTTTTCATTTTAACTACCCAGGGACGGACAGGGGTTCCTGACTCCATTTGTCTCCTTTCTGATACAACTGGGGGAAGTTATGAAGAGGGTGGAGAATGAGTTCCTTGCTTCTTCTTTTTTTAATGGAGTGGGAAGCATACAGGTTAGGAACGTTGGCTTCAACAGAAATAACTGCCACTCATAGATACTCTGCCTGAGGTCATATGAGACTGACCCAGGGTTGTGTACGTGTTTTCTGTGACTGGGGCAGCTGCAGCTGTGATATGACCCGCATATGCCCCCCTGCTAGAGACAGGACCGAGGAGGTCCGCTGGCTGGGGGCAGGGGCACAGGAAGGGGTGAAGAAGAAGCTGAGCAGAGTTTTTCAGCAGCCGTGGCAAAGGAAAAAAAAAAAAAAATCCTACCTCCAGCTAGCTGCCAGGATAGGGTAGGGGGCAGCAGGGGACACTTAGAACTTTTGGGACACCTTGGGAGGGGGGGTCGTCGTCGTTGTCAGAAAGGTGTTTGCCAAGAAAAATCATTAAGTAAAATGCACGCTCGACTTGGAATTCTAACTCGGGTCTTCTGGAGAAAGGGTGACCTTCCTCTGCAGATCTGACAGGGGTAGAGACCCACCGAATTGCTGAACTTGCTTTTGGAACAAAATGGGGGGGGGTGAGGGAAGCGGGAGGCGGAGGTAGGTGAGTCCCCTGTGGAGGGACAAAACGGGGAATGTGAGGACGCAGGGACAGCGGAGGCAGAGGGCACCTACCTCCTTCTCAGAGATGTACAGCTGGTCCCCCTTCAGCACCACATAACGGTTTTTCCAAATCTCCCTGAAAATCCCTTTCCCGCAGAATTTCCGGACCCAGCCGACCTTCTCAGGCGGTGCGGACGGCTGGTTGCCATCCTGAAGCCCCTGCCCCAGGGCAAGAGCAGAACCTTCCGGTTAGGTGGCTATCGCCTTCTCCTCGTCTCATTCCGGCCCTCACGACCCCCCTCGGCGCCCCTCTCGCCGGCTTTCCCGTGACCGCCCCCCACCCCCCCAGAGGCTGGACTCAGGGCGCCCCGCGTTCGCGCCCCACTCCTCGGAAGGTCTTCACTCCGGGCAACTCTCTCCCCCACCGCTGCCCTCCCGCTTCCCCCACATAAACAACTCCAAGTGCGAGAGGAAGGGGCCGGGGCCCGGCCTGGGCGGAGGGTGGCCTCCGGCTGGCCGCCAGGTCCCCCGCCCCCTCCCGCAGCCTCGGTCCCCGCCGCGCCGGGATTAACGGCATTTTATTTTATTTCTCATTGTCTCGGGGCCGCTGCAGCGCGCACGCAGGCGGCGGCCGGCCGCCCGGGGGAGGG